CCCTCTCTCTCTCTCTCTCTCTCTCTCTCTCTCTCTCTCTCTCTTTCCACACACACACACACACACACACACACACACTGCTCAAATGGTTCTGAAAAGCCTAAGTATGGTTAGAGAGGAAATGATGACATAAGGCAAAGTGTTAAGAGCTAGCGGATCTGTGCTAAGATTTTAGAGCTGGTTTAAATAAATAAAACAAAGCAGAGAAGTAAAATCTTCATGATTGAGTCAGGCAAAACTTTCTTCACTGCAACACAAGGGACCTCTAATAAGTAAATTAAACTTTGTGCAAATTAAAAGCATACTCTTTGAAAGACATTGCTCCCTGAAAAGACAAAACAGGCTTTAAAAAAAGTTTGCTGGTTAAAACTCTGATAAAAGCAGGCAAGGTGGCATACACCCACAATCCCAGCACTTTGGAGGAAGAGGGAAGAGGATGAGGGGTTTACAGTCAGCCTTAGCTACATAAGTATGTTTCAAATAACAACCTAACAACGCACTTGTTTCCAGATTATATCAAGAATACTGAGCAAACTTAGTTAAAAATATTAGTGAGCAAAGACAATTCAAAGATGATGCATGAGGAACAAACATGAAATCATCAACACCAGTAGCTATTGGGAAAAGAAAAATCCCACCCTGCCACAGCTGTGAGTGGGTGAAGTCATGGAGACTGAGGTTCGCTCTCACACTCGGCTTGCAGGAAAGCACACAACACTGCAGTCAGTGTGCTGCCAGTCTAGTTCCTAAACACTAACTACTCTACCACATGATCTGGGCAGCCAACTCTGAGAAATGAAAGCACATGTCCACACCAGGAGCTGTACGGAAAACCTTCACAGCATTTGTCAGTTTGTTTCATGACTTGTAGCTCTTGCTGACTTGGACCACTCTATGTAGATCAAGCTGGTCTGGAATCCACAGAGATCCACTTCCTCTGCAACCCCAGTGCTGGTATTATAGGCCTGTGCCACTATGTCTGGTCCAGGGACCGTCTCTAGGTTGTGGTCAGGGCACAGTAGCAGATTTAAATATGTAATGAGAATTATCTAATTCTAGAGTAGGCTCTCATTACTCTGACATACTCTTCCAAGGTGTACTATATTCCAATAAGTACACACAAATGACCAGCAGTTAAGATACAGAAACAGGCCAGGTACAGCAGCTCACACCTTTAATCCCAGCGCTAAGGAGGCAGAGGCAGGTGGATCTCTGAATTCTAGGCCAGCCAGGGATATAGTCAGACCATGCGGCAAAAACACAAACAACAAAACAAGTTTTAAAAAAGGAGGAAAGAGGGGCTAGAGAAATGGCTTAAATGTTAAGAACACTGACTGCTCTTCCAGAGGTCCTGAGTTCAATTTCCAGCAACCACATGGTGGCTCACAACCATCTCATAATGATATCTGGTGCCCTGTTCTGGCATGCAGACATACATGGAGGCAGGATGTTGTATTCATAATAATAAATAAATAAAATCTTAAAAAAAAAGGAGGAAAGAACTAGTTCCACCAAGTTAGACTCTGTCCTCCACACCTAAGTCCCAGACTACCCACACATGAAATACACAATAACAAAAGTGAACTGAAATGGCTGCAGTCTGAAAATTTCCATTTTACAAATGTATAAATTCTAAGTTTGACATAAATGTGCCAAAGGAATCATTTCCATGTTAATTTATTGGGTTTTTACTGTTACACATATAGTAACAGCAAGCTTACAGTGTATGGAAGCTGCATTCACTTGCAACTGTCTTTTTGTTTTTTTATTTTTTTATTTTTTGGTTTTTCGAGACAGGGTTTCTTTGTGGCTTTGGAGGCTGTCCTGGAACTCACTCGGGAGACCGGGCTGTCCTCGACCTCACAGAGACCCCCCTGCCTCTGCCTCCTGAGTGCTGGGATTAAAGGCGTGTGCCACCATCGCCTGGCTCATTTGCAACTTTCTTATGAACAATCATTTCTCAATGAAATTTAAAATTAGATAAAAAAATATTTTTATTAGATAGGGAGGAAAGGGAGGGAGGAAGGAAGGAGAGAAAGAGAGGGGAGGAAGAACAGAGGGAGAGAGAACATATCTTCCTGTGGCAACTTTACACACATAACTGACAAAATTGGAAATAACACCTATGAAATAAGCCACATTTCAACAATTTAAGTATAAAAATGTACTTTTTCCCTTTTAGACATACCAGAGATTGAGCCCAGGGCCTTCTGCACACCAGGTTAGCCTTCTACCACTGAACTCTGTCCCCAGCCCTAAGTGTCTGTATTTTAGTCTCCACTCCAGTTTTAGTGACTGGTTTACTTCTCTTCTTTAGCTGGTGTATTGCTTTGTAGCCCAGGTTTGCCTCAACCCTGCTATCCTCCTGCCTCAGCCTCCTGACTGTTGGGCTTACATGTAGGCGGAGTTTCTTTCCAGCATGGTCCCACTGCCGCTTTGCCTTCAGATACACTTCCAGGCTACTCAGCAATAGTGTAAGGTTTCTATTTGGATCAATCTAAGGGTGCCAGTATGAGCCCCACCCTCCCACCATTTCAGCTCACTTATACAATGTCCTCAATGATGTGCCCTTTCTAAGACTACACACACAGCTTACTGAGTGACACAGGTATCCGCTCTACCTCTCAGTCACCATTCCCCTAATCTACAGCATGAAACAAGTCCAGTACCCAAACTTAGCAGCTATCTTGGATCCCTGGGCTCACCTCCAGATATCTGGGGTCTATTAGGTCCTGTTGGCTCTTGTGCCATTTGAACTCAAAATCATTTTTATTTTATTTGGAGACAGGGTCTCACTATATAGTCCTGATGAGCCTAAAATTCGCTACAAAGATCAGGCTGGCCTCAAACTCACACAGTGAACTCCTGCCTCTACCTCCTGAATGCTGAGATCAAAGGCATGCACCACCACACCTGACTCTGAGTTTTTTGTTTGTTTGTTTGTTTTTTTGGTGGAGAGGGGATTTGAGACATCCTTTCTCTGTGTACCCCTGGCTGTCCCGGAACTCACTCTGAGCTCAGAGAGTCACCTGCTTCTGCCTCCCAAGTACTGGGATTAAAGATGGACCTCTCGAAGTCATTTCTGAAAACAGTTCCTAGGGGCTGGAGATAGGGCCCAGTGGCTAAGAGCATGGTGACTCACAGCCATACGTAACTTCAGTCCTGGGGACCCACCCTCCTCTGGCCTCAGCGGGTGCTGCATGAATGTACTACATACACATACATGTGGGCACAACACTTAAAATGAAAGTCAAACTTGATCAACTGTCCATTCTGCAGTAGTGGCAGCCTGAAATCCTGTACTACTATTTCCCAGTGAGATATGCAAAAAGACACCATCCAGGACACCACTGGGAAGCGATTCTGTGCCTACATGCCATTTTACAGATAAAACAGGGCACACTCACTACTGTTTTTGTTAGGACACAGGGTCTCATTCCGTAGCCTAGGCTGGCTTCAAACTCTCATGAAATCCTGTGCCCCTGTCTCCCAAATGCTGAATTGCAGGCATCAGTGACCACCACTCCCAGCCAAACTCACTAATTTTTTGGTGCTAAGGATCCAATCCTAAATCATGTGCATGCTAGGTAAGGGCTTCGCATCAGCCCAATACAAATTACTCTTAGCAGTCACTCTGGTGCTAATCTAAAGGTATCTGGCAACCGAACACACTGGGGGAAATGAGCCAGATGGCTAGGAGGTCTGGAAACCATCTATCAGTAAGATGGCTGATCTGAACTACAAAACCAGGGTCCAGTGAGATGAAAATGTTATGTTTAAATAGTACTGTATTCTGAATCTCTGCTTTACTCACTGAAAACCCAAGTAGTTATTGGGAACCTATCAGATGAGAAGCAGGGAATAAACAATTCCATTTGTCTATGATGCCCTTCTGTCCACAATTGATAAACAAATCCATCCCAAGTCTTTGCTGCATACAGACTAACACTGCAATCAAGCCTCTGTCCCCTCTTCAGAGAAGTGAGTATTACAAGCCTAGTGTTCTCAGAAGAAAGCCATTACCTGCAGACAGGTACACGGCCACAAACTGTTCTTGGCCAAGAATGTTCACGATGCTAGAGGAAAAGCTCCACAAAACATACATGTTGGCTGCCATGTGGAATAAGGAAAAATGACTGAACGTTGACAGCAACATTGGAGAACAAAGAACCTCTGCAAGAGAAGAAAGAAAGTGGTAAACATACAACACCAGGCCATTAACTTTATTCATTTTAAGCTTGTCTCATTATTGTTATGAAATCAAACAAAAGAATCCAAAACAGTTGGTTAAAAGTATAAATAAGATGGTTTTAAAAGTGCATTTCCTAAGGTTAAAAATTACCTTAATAAACATGTTTCTACTTGGTAAGCAGCCATAGGTCACCCTAAAGTACAAAGGACCTTGTCCTTATCACCAAAGCATGAGGAAATGATTTCAACTACAGACACAAAATTACATTTAATATTCTCCTCAAAGAATAAGCCTGCAGTGATTACAGGTTTTAACTTTTAACATTTTAATTTATTCTTTAATTTAAGTGTATGGGTGCTTTCCTTGCCTGCTTGAATATCTGTGTATCCCTGGAACCCAAGGAGGCCAGAAGAGAGTGATGGATATCCCGGAACTGAGGTTACAAGCAGTTATGAGCCACCACATGGGTGCTGGAATCAAACCTGAGTCCTCTGGAAAAGCAGCCAGTATTCTTAATTGCTGAGCCATCTCTCACTATGTAGCCATAGATGACCCAGAATTCTCTATGTAGTCCAGGCTGACCACAAACTCAGAGATCCTCCTGCATCTGCTTTCTAAGTGGTAAGATCAAAGGCTGGATCACCATGCCTGTCCAGTTTTTAATTTGAGAAAAGAGAAGAGAAGAGGAGGGGAGGGGAGGGGAGAAAAGGGGAGGGCAGGAGAGAAGAGAAGGGAGGGGAGGGAAGGGAAGGGAAGGGAAGGGAAGGGAAGGGAAGGGAAGGGAAGGGAAGGGAAGGGAAGGGAAGGGAAGGGAAGGGAAGGGAAGGGAAGGGAAAGAAAAGCACCTACTATATGTAAAGTACCTTTCAGGCACCTGGGAATTACAGCAGGGGAGAGACAAGGTTCTTGTCCTCAAGGAGTTTACAGGCTCTACCTTTGTCCTTTGTGCATAATTAATGACAAATAACTTATTCATGTAACATTCCAATTAATATAAAGCATATTTTCCATATTATTTCTACATCAAAATAAATTCAGGTGAGTTAAGACTTACTTGAAGCTGGATTGGATGTAAAATATCTCATCATGGTTCGATTCAGCGACGGCACCCTCCATAGGCAGAATACGAGAGTATTTGCAGCTATGATACCTACAACACAGAATTGAAGGATGTTAAAATCAGAGCCAAGAAAGTCCGATCCAGTCCACCTGGCGACGCCCTGCCACAGTTACATGAGTGTACTATGCATTTGGTGAGGGGTAGTTTGTGCTGAAGAACACAAACCATATCAATGCCTTTCAAGTGTCAAAACTCCACATGGTGGTAAATCAGGGTTTTTGTGGAAAGCACAAATGCTCTAAGAACTGGCTTTCTTTTTACAAGTTATTTATTTATGGTAGGCCCACACATACAACTTTCAGAGTCATTCTTGCCTTCCTTGCTGCTGCACTATTGCTTTTGCTGCTCTATTGCGTACTCCAGGCTGGCCAGCCTGTCAGCTTCAGGTATTTTCCCTGTCTCCACCCCTATCTCCCTGTGCAGTCCTAACACATCCAGCCTTCTTTCAGTTTTCCCCTGGTCTCTAAGGATTGACTCAGGTTGTCAAGCTCAAGGGGTCTAACTTGGAGGCTGGCATCTTCCCTGCCACCCCATTTTCTGAGACAGGGTTTTTCTGTATAGCCCTGACTGACCTGGAACTCAATCTGTAGACCAAGCTAGCCTCAAACTCACAGAGATCCTCCTGCCTCTGCCTCCTGAGATTAAAGGTATGCACCACCACACCCAGTTGAAGCTAGCATCTTACTCAGAGTCATCTCCCTGGCCCAGGAACTTTCTGCACCCAGATCAATATTTTTTTCCTTCAGAACTGATGGGGGAAGTCCTTCTGTATGCTGTGAATATGTTTCTCTTATTGGTTGATGAATAAAGCTGTTTTGGCCAATGGACAGGCAGGATGTAGCCAGGCAGGAAGTATAGGTGGGCTACCAGACTAGGAGAATTCTGGGAAGAGGAACAGAGAGAGTGGGTCGCCAGAGAAAAGCCATGTAGCTGTTGAAGAAGAAAAAGGCCAAGCATTACCCGTAAGTCAAGACTACGTGGAGATACACACATTAATAGTTATGGGTTAATAATTAAGAGAGAGCTAACCAACAAGAAGCCTGTGCCATCAGCGAAACAGTTTATAATTAATATAGGCCTCTGTGTATTTTTATTTGGGACTAAACGACTATGGGACCAGGCAAGACAGAAACCTCCCTCTACACAGAACAGTTTACTCTTCTCAATAAATAATCAGATCTATAATAATTGTTTGATGATGGCCAAACCAGAAATAGAGGCAGGAGGATCAGAAACTACTAGGGTACAAACTCACGATAGGGAGGCAAAGCCCACCCCAAAGGACCACTTCTGCCTAAAAGTTCCACAGCCTCCCCAAACAGTGCCACCTGCTGCTTGGGGCCCAACACATGAATCCATGAGTGACATTTCAAACTCAAACCACAACATCTGATAAAAGCCCAACAGGCAGCTATGAATGTGAAGAGCAGGAGAAATACTCTTCTTGGGGTTGTGTTGTGGAATATTTCTCTGCACTGTAAATGTATGTCTCTACCTAAGGCGTCTTCTAATTAGTTTAATAAAGAAATGAATGGCCAAAGACTAAGCAGGAGAGGACAGGCAGGAATTTCAGGGAATGACAGGAAGATGGAGGAACCTAGGAGGGTTGATTTCATCAGAGACTCTGAAAAAGTCGGATACATGGAACAAAACAGAGATCACCAAGCCATATGGCAGAATGTAAAACAATAGGGACAGGTTAATTTAAGTTATAAGAACTAGTTGGAAAAAAAGTCTAAGTTAAGGCCAAGCTTTCATAATTAATATTAAATCTCCATGTAGTTATTAGGAAGCTGGAGGTCCCACAAAACAAAGTCTGACTACATTTTTAAAGGCTTGTTACAATTAGTGCAAATGTGGGGCACGTAAATCCACATAGGACCCAAAAAAGCTGGAAAAAAAAAAGTTGTGAGTAGGCTTGATGCTTGTGGCTTACAGAGGTGTAGCTCTTCTAAGGGACTCTGCTACTGAGCACTTGCAAGGGTTTATGAGCACCTGACAGGGCACTACTTGGTGGCAGTAGACTAGGCAGAAATGCCAGCCACAGCATGAATGGAGAAACTTCCCAGACCTGGAGCAGATAGACTAGCTCCAGGCCAGGGGCCATGGGCATGAGGCTCTCTACTCTTCACCAATCCAAAGGGAGCAGAGCCTGCAGCCAGATCACATGCTAAGTGAAGCCATGCAGCAAAGACCTAGCTCTACTTAGCAGTTTAAGGTTTGGCTCATATGGTCAGAAAATGATACAAGTGTGTAGTTGCCGGTGCTTAAAAAGTTAGGTCCAGATTTAAAAGAAACTTCTGAATTGATATAATATGCTTAAAAATGCACTTAAATGCAAAAGCAAAAAAATGAATATAGCCATAAAAAATAAATAGTTTAAAAGCAATAAAGTCCTTAAAGAGAGAGTAAAGTAATATTAAAGGAAAAAGCCACATAAAGATGGAAAATGCACAGGGTGTCTGGATCCTGAATAGTACTTTGTTGACTTTAAAATTTTGAAATGCTAATAACAAAAAAAAATAGCTGCTGAGAAACATTTGATTATGGAAACTGCTAAATTAAACCAACCTATTTTGAGAATGTCTTAACTTTGGAATGGAAGTCAGAAAATATGTTGCCTTGAGAAAAAAGATTTTCTTTTGTTTCGACTGGAAACAAAAAACTATGGATTTCATCCAAATCAATAAAGACCAGATCTGATCAGGGGATACCTCCTGAAAATATTGGCTACAGACATGAAAAATAAAACAAAAAACAAACAAACCCTACAAAACAGGTGATGTACATGCTGATCCCTCTACGTGGGAACAGCTCTGAGACTGGATGAGACATGATTAAATCTTATTGGCTACAGAGTCCTCATGACTTATTATAACATATGACATGGATAGAAGTTTGGCTATACAGACCAAATAAACTTATAAAATTGACAGATGCCTTTTACCTCCTCAAACATAAAGCAAAAAAAAAAAAAAATCATCGTTAGCTGACTTGTGCACACCATACATACCATACTTCTGTTAATAAAGATGTATATTACCTTTAAAAGTTTGGGTGCTTTCAGAAAAAAAGGACCAGATACCAATGAAGACAAGTAGTCCAAGTGATCCTGCCTCAAAATGCCTCTGTTGCAGTTTCCTCAAAATTCTACAACCAGTACAACATCAAAGCTGCGAGCTGAGATGGTCCAGCCTCACACACTAGCCCAGCAAGGACTTCAGATAAACTCTACAGTTTCCTATCACACAGAGACTAAACAAAAAATAATGCAGCTAGCTCTCCCAGGACTTAACCATTATCCCAATTTTCTCAGGGTCCCCTAGAGATGCCATCACCCCCAAATAGCAGGAAGCAGTCTAGAATATCCAACATCCACATTCCCAAGAGGGGGTAGGTGATTTTTGGCATTCAATGGATTATGGATGTTTATTATCATTTAGTGGGGTTGGTTGCAACTTGTTGTTGGTCATGGTCAGGAAAGAAGCTAAGCAAAGGAAATTAGATTCAGGGATCTCTTTCTGAAGAAAAAAGGGGAATTTAGTATAAAAAGGATGGGATAAAAGGGTGAATTGTTGAGTCTACTTTTGAACTAAAAAACAAGTCTCAAATATTTTATATTGGTATGGATTTTTGTATATTGATACAAATTTAAGGTTATTTTTGTTTTACTGTATGTATGTTTCTACTCTTGTTTAAGGTATTGTACGTATGCAGCTCATTTAGAAACATAAAGCTTTAGTCCTTGAAAACTATTTAGGATAATAAAGACAAGTTAGTAGTTAGTCATCTATAACAATCAAACTTATAATCATCTTAGGTATGTTTTGTTTGTTTTGTTTTGTTTTTCGAGACAAGGTTTCTCTGTGTAGCTTTGGAGCCTATCCTGGCACTCGCTCGGGAGACCAGGCTGGTCTCGAACTCACAGAGATCCACCTGCCTCTGCCTACCAAGTGCTGGGATTAAAGGCATGCGCCACCAACGCCTGGCTTTTAGGTATGTTTTCTAGATCAAACAGATATATTTTAAATAGAAAGATGGTCTTCAAAAACATCATAGACCTACAAAACATGGAATTCAAAATGTTTTAATAACAAGGCTTTTCATGACAGTGAGACATGTCTGCTCCTGGCAGCACCAATTTACTTCAAAAAAGAATGATGGGAATCAAAGAACCAACACAAAGAATTTGCTTTTATTTGTGGCAAAGTTAGCCACTGAGCAAGTAACTGCCCTTGCCTTGACTGCTGATAGTATGCTGTCCAAACTGGACAAGGAGGACAAAAAGAAATCAGTTGCCAAACATTGCCAAGACAGGTAAGACAGTCCTTCAGAATATCCTGCTTCACAGAAGTCTATCAGATACACTGGGCGTTGGTGGTGCACGCCTTTAATCCCAGCACTCGGGAGGCAGAGGCAGGCGGATCTCTGTGAGTTCGAGGCCAGCCTGGTCTCCAGAGCGCGTGCCAGGACAGGCGCCAAAGCTACACAGAGAAACCAAAAAAAAATGTCAAAAAAAAGAAAAAAAAAAAAAAAAAAAAAAAAAAAAAAAAAAAAGAAGTCTATCAGATATGTTAATCCTGTAGGCTGAAAATTAATGCCCCCAACATTGTAGAGGAACTTTGGGTGACTGTCCATACAGCCAGCTGTCTTTGTCATTTCTAAAGTTTTGAAAGTTGTTTGCTCTGCACTTCTGTTTACTCAGGTAATGTATATCCTTTTCAGGTCTCTCATAGGGGTTGAAGACTAGATAATTATCATTGTCTTCATTACCAAATTCAAAAAAGAAACCTACAAAAGAGATGTAAAGGTTATAAGGTTGAGAAACACAAAGCTTTAATTGTTTACCTAAGATGTTTTGAGGTCTCAAAGATATTTTGATGGTGGTAATAAATATTAAAATAAAAATAGTTTAGATATAAGACTTTGAACTCACTAAGATAGGATAGATAATATTTCCTCCAAATTTTCAAAATACATATGGATTGGACATTATGAATGTAATTCTTACCTGAAAATTGTCCTCATTA